GGGCCCGAAGAAGTCGCCGCTCACCACGGGTGCGTGGGGTTTGTGTGGCAGCTCTGTGCTCTGGCCTGTAAATCGCGGTGCCTTTGGGTCTCGGATAGCGAAGCGAGCGCTGTCGTTGTGAGGCCGTGCGCTGAGTGTGCTCAGTTGCTTGAGGGAACAGCCGGGTTTCCATGCTGTTAGCAGCTGAAGGTTCACAGGCTCCAGCCCTCCGTCGTGGTGCCTGGCCGGTCAGGCAGGACTCCTTAGGCTTGCCCAGAAGTTGGCTCAAGAGTAGGAATGCTCCCCTGTGCGCAGAAGAGAGTGTGGTGAAGATGAGGTCTTGTGTAAGTCCTCTGACGAGCTTTAAAAGAAGCACTTGTATGCCATCACCAATAATTCCTCCATAAGGACCCTATGTAGCATTGCTGTTCTTGCATTTCTCTCCAAAATTCCTGTAGCTAGCTAATCTACATGCGTTAATCATGCACAACTACGATACGTGATGAACCTGACTCAATGCTTCTCCGAACGCTTAGTCTAATTACAAAGTTGAAATAGAGAGGATTCAGCATCTTGAAAGCATCCTTAACGAATTCTCACATTGCAGAATAAAGTTTGTAACCTTTTCAGAATTTACATAGAATCACAGAATGGCCTAGGCTGGAAGGGACCTTAGAGATCATCTAGTCCAACCTCCCTGTCATGGGCAGGGACGCCACCTCTCGACTGGACCTGGCAACACATGGGGACCGAGCGGGAAGCACTCGCATTTTACAGTTGAAAAAACAAATAAAATACGAAGGCACCTTTCTGTCCAGACGTACTGAAGAATAGCAGTGATCCCTTTCCATTTATTTAGGCCCTCCAGATGAAGAGCCTGAGGTCTGAACAAATGTTTTGGAATGATTGTTGAAACACCACAGGTACAACTGTGCATTTTACAATGAGCACTATCAATATGAGGAGAAAGAGGATCATGGTTATCTTTAAAAATATATTGCCTTTTGGACCAACGTAACCTATTCAATATATAAATCACATTTTGCTATCTAGGGAAACTTGACAAATATGTTAGGAAAAGAGGAAAAGTTTGGCAAATCAAAACTGGATCCACTGATCTGATACATCTGTGTTATCTTTGTGATTTCACAAAGTCCTCAGAAATGAGTGCCTTGCCACTTTAGAAAAAAAAAAAAGACTGATGAACCAGAATACAGGACTGGAGTCTGTTTTAGCAAGTCATAATGACTGGCAGCAAAGTCAGGAGCAGGGTATGCAGTATTAGTTATTCTTTAAATATTACCACAAAACACCAGTCACATGGGTTTGTGCTCATCTGAAATAATATAATTTATTTCCCAGCTAGTTCTTCATTTCATTTGTTGAGGCAAAAAGCTTGGTAATTTCTTTGCTAGACAGTACAGTTAAAAATTCTTTTAAATCAACAACCATGGAAATCACTTATACTGGCAGAAAGATGCTTTGTGTGATTAAATTGCATCAAACTAGAAATGTAATTACTCTGATTAGAAAGAAGGTATTTTGCTTCCTTTGTGAGAGGTTAAAATAAATACCCTGATAGAATTTCAGTATAGCTTACCCTTTCCCTGTTCATGCACGTACTGCAGTTGTTGGAAATCTGAGCAACACTACCATGGTATGTTATAATCTTTTTTTCTTTTTTTCCCGTGTTCCTAAAGCTGAATTACAGATTGCTGAAGCCGTTGCTCTGGTAGATACCCTTCAGAACTGGACAGTTTTAGATAAAATAATTATTCCCACAAAAAATCCTGACAAGAAGTTTGTTTTCGGCAAAGGAAACTTTGAAGTTTTGACAGGTAAGGATGGACATTTTTCAGCACTGAATCATTCTAAATGGAAGTTTTCTGCAGCTGAACTGTTTAAGTATAGGTATGAAAGCTGAAGAGGAGGAGAATTTTATTTCTCTGTCATGCAGGTCTGCAAATGAACTTCAGGGAATTTTAAGGTTACAAAAGCAACATAGAGTAGAAATAGTCTGTATGTGAGGCACCTTAATCCCTGTGTTTGTGTGATTGATGTAACTGAAACTGGCAGCTGTTCTTGATGTAATACTAAACTAGAGCAATTACAGCTCTGAACAAAGAATATGGTGCCGTTTGGTATTTCATGAGCATTCTGCTCAGTGCAAAATGGTTTTATATTCTCTATATTTTAAAAAGCAAATTGACATTTAACACTGTATTTTGCAATGGTTATCCATCTTTTAGAAAAGATTAAAAAATTGCCCCATGTGACAGCTGTCTTCCTGAATGTGGAAAGAGTATCTTCAGTAACCAAGGTAACTAAATATATCAAATCGTATTCTCTACATCAGTATTGTTGAGAAGCTATTGATGTTTTGAGAAGTAGAGTCAGTTATGACTCTGAATTTGCAAATGGTAATATGTGAAGCCACCTGGACTGAGTTTTGTTGAAAGGAAATTTAATTCCTATTATGTTTGTCCTGTTGATACATGTGTTTCCAGCTCTCATGCATGAAATTTTCCAGCAGCCTAATAGCCATTTAGGGTAGACTCCACTCCTGCATTTGCCACTGGCCCTACTTAAAATTTTGGAAAAGTTACTCGAGGTCCCCTTCACAAAATGGAGGTGATAACACAGCTTTTGTTGTGAAGCATGTCAACATTTTCGGTTAGCCATACGCATGAGTTTCTATACCTATATGGATAGTGTTATTTTCCTTTAGTTCTCTGGATGTTGAATTGTACTTTGAATATGAGGTGTAAATTCAGAGGAAACTTATATTTCAGTGTTTCAAATATTTGAACTTTGATTCCTAACTCTTAAAAAGAAACCGTATTTTAGATGGATGGGTTACATCGAGGGGAATGAGCACGCTTGCCTTTTTTAACTAACACTGGCAGTAAAACAACAGGCGCATGTAAGACAGATGCTTTTCAAAATACACGCTTAAACAAACCGAAGTAAACACTTTCTAGGTTTTTTGCATTTATGACATCAAGCAAAGTGTGAAGTGCATGTAAACTGCAAGCAAACATTAATGCTTTGCTGGTAGTTTTGAATGCTTTCCCTGATTATAATACAAGTGGTAAATATCACTAATAGATAGTTCAGAATCACAGAATCATCGGAGTCGGAAGGGACCCCTGGTGATCATGTAGTCCATAGTAATCTTGAGCACTTCAATTTACTGATGAAATGGAAGCTGAAAATGTTTCATTTCAGTTTTCTAGTTTTTATTCACTAATTTATAATGAGTTCATTTCGTACTAGATCTGCTAAAAAAAAAACTTTTCACAAATCTAGACCTTAAGAGCAATTTAACAGGGTCAATTTGAGAAAGTATTTAAGAACACGTATCAAACAAGCATTCTGAATTTTGAAGGTGCGTATTTTAAGTGTCTTGCTGAATCAGAGCAAGGATGAGGTTTGTTGTTTGAGTTTTGATTGGTTGGGGGGGTTAGAGTATGTGAAAAGCTGATATGGAATAGTTTTTCTGCCTTCCTCTCTTTCAGTTTATTTTTTTTTCAATTTTGGTAATCTTTTTTTCTTTTCCTATGTTGTCCAGCGTTTCATAATAATTTTTCATGAGGACTTAGCCACTGAGATTCTTGCTTCTGATCTATGTTGTAAGAGCTGTTGCAAGAATCCGTTAAAGACAACAGAAAGATTCTTGCTGAGTTTAATGGGCCCCAACCTGAAGTTCTACCTCTAAATTCACTTTATCACCTTTTTTCATGGTCAACCAAATTTTGCCTTTGTGTGCTCATGCGTTGGCCACCCATTGAAATGAAATCCTGAGATCCTTTACATTCAAGTGTCCGTCAGCTAACTGTAACTTAGTGCTCTGTAGGAGTTGATCTACAGATACCGTGGCAGAAAGAAAACATCCATGTTATTTTGTCTTACATGGCTAAAGAAAGAACTAGAAGATGCCTGGGGCGTGAAAGTCTTCGACAGATACACAGTTGTACTTCACATTTTTCGTTGTAATGCCCGGACCAAAGAAGCAAGACTTCAGATAGCATTGGCTGAAATTCCACTTCTCAGGTACCTTGAGCTATGCAAATTGCATACTGATACTTAAGTAGTGACTTTCCTTACAGTTACAAAACTGGTAATACTGTACTGTAAAGAAAAATGACACCATTTTAGTGCTTGTGTGGTGTCCTCCATGACTGATTAGAGCATAGAAGGATTTGCTGTAATGTCATTGTTTTGAGCTTCTGCCAGTACTGGCAGGCAAAACCAGAAAGTGTTCAATAGATAATTTCACAAAATACATTTCTCATGTAAAGCTCCTGGTTCTTTCTAACACAGAAGATGGATTGCAAGAATGTGCAGGAATTCGATATGTGTATCCTTTATATAATACTGATGGGTTTAATAAGGAAACCTATAAACAAGGAAGATTGAAGATCTTCATTTGTACCTGAATTTTCCAGATTGCTACGTTATGTGGCATAGAAATATTTGTACATGGCAGTCATGTGAGTTGCGTGGTTGTATCGGAGAGATCTTTGGCTCTCTGAAATTTCTGAATAGCCATTATAATTTGCTAAGAGAGTTGCACTCTTTTTCAGACCACACCTGAGGACCCAGGAAAAGATGGGATTTTTTTTTACCAGACTTCTCGCCTTGAGCACATTTTATTTAGAGCTCTCTCATTTAGTATTGTTATGTGTGCTATTAGAATATCACTACTCCTTCACATTCATTAGGCATTTTAGGGTAGCTTGATCAGAGAAAACTGCTTCTAATTAACTGTTGCTCCACTACCAGGTCAAATCTGAAGACCGAGGTGTCTCAGCTAGATCAGCAGAGAGGTGGATCGAGATACATCATGGGCTCGGGTAAAGACTAAATATTCCCAAGAATGAGAGGATTTTTTTTTTTCTCCAAAGCATTTAAACTAATTTAATTACATCTTATTTTATTTGGAGGCAGATGTGAGGAAAAGCTGTTTTGAGTTCTGCAGCTAATTAAGTGAATGTACAAAAATTTTGTAACTTAAATAATAAAGTTTTGATCTGTGCAGACTTAGTAAGTGACTTTGGACAGACTTTGCTGCCACAGAGTTTGTCCTAAGTGTACATGGTTATACTGGAGTGCTTTGCATATGTTTTAATAATTTCTTATCTCTCTGAGTCTTAGGTAAGAATACATAGTTTTAGTTGCTTATTTTTAATTTCATAGAGACTAGTGCTAAACTCACTTGATTTCCAAGTGCAGAACACCAGTTGGTTTAGTGTTTCTCTTGTAGACTATTCTGCCAGTTATTCATTTGTATTTTTCAGGTGAAACATTCATGGAGACGCAGAGTCGTATCTTGAAAGAAAAAGAACTTAAAATTAGGAATGCCCTGGAGAAACTAAGGAGAAAAAGGTCTTTACTTAGAACTCAGCGCAGAAAACGCCAGTTTCCAATTATCTCAGTCATGGGCTATACTAATTGTGGTAAGCAAAAACTTATGAAATTGTTACACAACAGAGTTTACATTGCCTAATTTTAATTAGAAACTTTAGCCAGAATCTCATTTCAGTGTGAATAGGCTTCATATTTTAATTTGTTTTTAAATTGTGTTATAAATATATGCCAAGTAGGATATAGTTAGGAAAGCAAATCATGCTTGTAGTTAGATTTTATGGGAGTTTTTTTCAGTCTTGAAGACATGTTTTGGAGAAATGCCTAGCACCTATTGTACCAAAAGGATTTTGTATATAATGCTGAAGACTGTACTTTTAGTGTCGCTTTATATGAATCACTATTGCTTGATCAGAATGGGTAGAGAAGAGTATGTGAGTGTTAGATCACTGTGGATGCTTGAGGTATGGAAGGAAAAGGCAGCAGAGTTGGCAGTTGATCAGACAAATGTGGTTTAGAAGCACTGCAGCTTTTCATTGATTCACGTATAGTATTCTAAGAAGTTTTCCTGAGAGAATCTAAATAAAGGTTTTTTCTATATTTTTTTAATAACTTACACAAGTGAATTCATACACAAGACATAGAATCATAGAACAATTCAGGTTGGAAAAGACCCTTGGGATCATCAAGTCCAACCATTGACCCTACACTACAAGGTCACCCCTAAACCATATCACCCAACACCACATCTAAACGACACTTGAACACATCCAGGGATGGCAACTCAACCACCTCCCTAGGCAGTCTGTTCCAGTGTCTGACCACTCTTTC